AAATTAGTTACTGATGGCTAAAGTTAATGATCACACTATTTAAAGATACCCTGTATATGAATATCACCAGATACGCCTCGATATTAACTTAAATCTGCCAGTTATTTGTTGACAACACTCTGAAGCACGCCAAGAAACATTTTTTCTAAGTGAGATAACATAAACAATCTGCCACCATTCCTCCATAAATATGCCTTCTGATCAAAGCAACAATGCAAACAGATCAGATGCTTTTGCATGAATGGCAGATTGTGCGAGCTGTTCTTCTCGGAAGAAAACCTTCTTAACTTTTTAAAATTATTCAGGAGCTATTGAAAGCAGATTGACGATTAGCCTCTGAAAGCACACTGTTGCTGCACATCTCATCTGGAGATAAAGGTCAGAATTTTTTCTAAGATTAACGGGTTCTTTTTAACATCAAAAAACGTTTAATAAAAGTTATAAATTGAATAGTAGGCCCAACTCTTGTGCTATATCAGGCTTTAAAATACAATAAAGAAATTTGGGTCAGCCAGAGACCGAAGGCTGCAAGGATAGAAGTGGAGTATAACTCCTCGTTCAAAGAAGAAAGTGAAGCAACGAGTTCAACAAGATCAAAAGTTCTTGGAGGAAAACTACTTAAAGAAGAAATTCTTAAAACAAAAAGCACAAACCTTGTCATCCCCGACGATGAAAGGTCTATCTGCCGAGTACATCTTTCTCATCTCGTCGGCCTCAATCCTTGCTGCAATGTAGGCTGTCGAAGGCATATCGCTGCTGCGACGCATTCGAGTATGGCGATGAGGGCTGTGGTGTGCGTAGAAAGGCTTATCCTCTTGCATACTGAGCGATTTTTTCACCTATACATGAAATGCCTTCATAGATTCCGCAGGCTTCTTCGATAGGCAGAAATGAGCTCAGATATTACCTTCTTGGTTGGAGAAACGCTCAGCTGTCTTCCGAGAGCTTTCCGCCTGGCTATAGTGGCCGCTTCCAGTTCAGCACTGCCCATATTTACAACATCGTCCTGCAAAAAATATACATTATCAGTAGCGAAGATCATGTCAGCGAACGATTACCTTCGAATAGTTGCCTGGCACTACGATTAGCCAATAATGTGATATAGGACCGTATTCTTCGGAAGCCGGTCGCAGACGCACTACGACTTGACCGGGTCTGCTGGCCAGACCGATAGTAATCACTTCATCTAACTCCGGTGGAAAAACGAACGGTGGGCCTGTGGGGTCCGTTACGATCACGACCTTAAAGTACGTCATATACTATTTTTAAATATATTACTAGATAGGTAAAAACTCTACTTAAGGAAAAGCATTACCTCCTTCGGCCAATACTGCCGGGCTCCTGGTGGTAAGGATCGTACGCCGACATGGAAAGTGTACTGCATGTAGGGCCGTAAATTAGTCCATCTGCAATCATCGAGTCATCAATAAGAAGGGCAGTCGCATCAACAAAGAAGCGATGAACCATATAACTCACAGATATTCTCGACTGCCTTCATCTAATTCGTGTTTGAATCCTGGAGTC